GCAGCTGGACAAGTGAGATCAAAATGGCAAAGAAGCTTAATTTGGTTGTGGCAGCGTGTAATAATAACGGAATTGGTATAAATGGAAATTTACCGTGGCGTTTGAAGTAATTCACTTTCTAATTTTTTATCATTTATGTAAAATATGTGATTTACATATAATTTTTACATGATTTCGCGATGTTACATGTATAAATTTTTACATGTTCATTTGTTTATGTGTCATGATTTATGTAAGTAATTTTACTAAGTGTGACCAAAGAGTACATGTTTAAAAATATATCAATTTGTTACTGGTAAAAATGTTTTATTATGTCTATTTTGATGAAATATGTTGAATAAATATATTTATTCTTAGAAATTCTATAATTTGGCTGTTACACCATATGTTTGTCGGTATGTCTTAATACCAAATATGAGTGATATCCGCGGATATCACTATAAATACCGAATATGACCTATATTTTACAAAGTAATTATTTTTTTATAAATTTTTCTTGATACTATGTTTTATAATAATAAAATGAATTTACATGCAAAATTGCGTTAAATTTGGTCCATAAATAAAAAAGTTATAAGTTATATTCGAATTACGTTCTATAAAAGTCATGTCCGTGGCGGACAGGAGATACCGAATATGACTTATTTTTTATGAATTGATTAATTTTTTTATGATTATTTCTCGATACGATGTTTTATAATTATATAATTATTTTACATGCAAAATATCGTTAAATTTGGTCCATAAATAAAAAAGTTATAAGTTATATTCGTTGCGTTTTCTATAACAGTCATATCCGTGAAGGACAGAAGATACCGAATATGACCTATATTTTACAAAGTAATTATTTTTTATATTTTTTTTTTCTTAATACGATGTATTAAAATAATAAAATAAATTTACATGCAAAATTTCGTTAAATTTGGTCCATAAATAAAAAAGTTATAAGTTATATTCATTGCGTTTTCTATAAAAGGCATATCCGTTGCGGACAGAAGATACCGAATACGACTTATTTTTTATAAATTGATTATTTTATTATTTATTTTTCTTGATACGATGTTTAATAATAATAAAATGATTTTACATGCAAAATATCGTTAAATTTGGTCCATAAATAAAAAAGTTATAAGTTATATTCATTGCGTTTTCTATAAAAGGCATATCCGTTGCGGACAGAAGATACCGAATACGACTTATTTTTTATAAATTGATTATTTTATTATTATTTTTCTCGATACCATGGTTAATAATAATATTATGTTTTTACATGCAAAATATCGTAAAATTTGGTCCATAAATAAAAAAGTTATAAGTTATATTCATTGCGTTTTCTATATAAAAGGCATATCCGTTGCGGACAGAAGATACCGAATACGACTTAATTTTATAAATTGATTATTTTATTATTTATTTTTCTTGATACGATGTTTAATAATAATAAAATGATTTTACATGCAAAATATCGTTAAATTTGGTCAATAAATAAAAAAGTTATAAGTTATATTCGTTGCGTTTTCTATAAAAGGCATATCCGTTGCGGACAAAAGATACTGAATACGACTTATTTTTTTATCAATTGATTATTTTATTATTTATTTTTCTTGATACGATGTTTAATAATAATAAAATGATTTTTACATGCAAAATATCGTGAAATTTGGCCAATAAATAAAAAAGTTATAAGTTATATTCGAATTACGTTCTATAAAAGTCATAACCGTTGCGGACAGAAGATACCGAATACGACTTATTTTTTTATCAATTGATTATTTTATTATTTATTTTTCTTGATACGATGTTTAATAATAATAAAATGATTTTTACATGCAAAATATCGTGAAATTTGGCCAATAAATAAAAAAGTTATAAGTTATATTCGAATTACGTTCTATAAAAGTCATAACCGTTGCGGACAGAAGATACCGAATACGACTTATTTTTTTATGAATTGATTTTTTTTCTCTCTCGATACTATAGTTAATAATAATATGATGTTATTGGTTATTGGTCAATAAGTGAAAAAGTTATAAGTTATACTTGTTGCGTTTTCTATCAAAGTCATATCCGTTGCGGACAGAAGATACCGAATATGACTTAAATTTTATAAATTGATTATTTTATTATTTATTTTTCAAGATATGATGGTTTATAATAATAAAATGTTAAATGCAAAATATCATTAATTTTTATCAATAAAAAAGTTATGTTATATTCTATTTTATGAATTTTATTATTTTACCTCATTTATGAGGTCGCAATACGTTTCCGTAATACAGGAAGCAATTAAATAATCATGTATGATATGCGTTTTTTTCCTAACATTGTTTTTTAGAAAATTTTAATATTTATTTTAGAAATAAAGGGGTGGTTGCTTTACTTTTCCGTATTCATGCATCTATTAAAATAATATTTAATGGGCATTTTCCTAGTTTTGATCTAAAAACCGTGTAAATAACAAATCCTGATATGCTTAATAACTTTAAATATTATTTTTATGTATTGGTGATGTTGACTTTTATTATGTTTTCATAAAGCGTTCGTCTTAGCTATAAAAACTAATGATTATATCATCTCTATGAAATAATGCCCCCAAAACATATTTTTTTTAATAAAAGAGGTTTGTCCCAATAAAAGTGATGATGAGTATTTCAAATAACAATTAAAAACAGACGGAATACATGAATCATATGTTTACTTTTTATTTCCTATAAATATGATTAACTAAACATGTACTAGATAGTTCAATACATAATTATTCTCCGTCTAGCGTAAAGTTCTCCTGAAACACTTTAAGACCTCGTGTTTAAATAGTGTCATGCCTTTTTCGGAGCACCCTGGATGTATTAAATCTCTATCATAGTGTCTAGGATACTGTAGTCTCTTTCCCACTTGCACAAAATCATGACCAAGTACTTTTTCAATTTATTGTTGAGTGACCTTCTGATTTTATTGAACATCTTGCTGTTTAGACCCGTCCACTGTTTAAAGTTTCCTCTTTCAATAATGCTCGCCACGAACACGCGTTCCACACCTGAATTATAAAGGTCCTCTGCTATATTGATCAGGTTGATATATATAGAATGGATATCACACGCTGCCGTGATGTCGTTCCCTCCTAAGTTGATAAATACATATCTGTAAAATAAAAATAATCAACATTAATATTATCATTAAACAAATTGTACAATTGAACTTTGTACCCTGTTTTTTTTATACAAACTATAATTATAAAGCTGTTTATCTCCATCTATCAATTTCGAAGTGTAATATGACTTTGTAATATGATTAAATTAATCAGGATTTCAGTAATGCATGACATAATATGTTGACATAATATGTTGGAGATGTTTTTTTTTTTAAACAATGAAGTTAATTAACTTTTTAAATATTATTTTATTGTGTTTACTTGCCTCGGTCGGTACTCTAACATTTCTCTGAACTTGCTTGTGAATTTTCTCTGTGTCGACATTCCTGAAACACCAAAAAATCTGTGAGGTCGGTCAAAATCTAATTTGCCATATGTAGAAGCCTGAAGTCTAGTAATAAAACTATCACCGAAAATTGCGTATTTGGACATTCTGAATTGTAAATGTACAATGTTTTATAACGCTGCAATGTTTCATATATACATGATAAAAATTGACACTTTTCACTCAGTGTCAATTTGGCCGCTTGTTGTTTGTTACGAATATGTCATTGTTATTTGGCTATTAGTATTTCACAGGTTATAAATAGAGCAAACAGTGTTAAAGGGACTCCACTGAGCTGTTTTTCACATGAAGGGACTGGAAATAATTTTTTTGAGATTGTCACACCATTTGATGTAGATCAATTACTACATGTTATAATTGTGTGCAAAATTTCAGATCAATCGCTCGCCCCGTTTTGCCAGAAAAATAATTATTATAATAGTGGAAACGACACAAAAATGAAAAGCGTTTAAACGCTTTTCACTCCAATCGGACTGAGAAAAGCACAAACATTCGATTTTCATTGTATTTCTTGTATATTTCTTAATTATATTTCATTTATATTTCTGTTTAAAGTGCTCATCTTTACCTATGTGAAAAATTAAAAAAATCTATTTTTAGGCTTATAAACCTAAGTGGAGTTCCTTTAAAACTCTATAACTTTAAAGAAATATGCATAAGATCAGACCAAAACACTGAAATAATTTATGATTTTTCTTAACAAATATAAAGTGAAATAATTTGTACTATAATGAATGCTTCATATCGATCATGTTAAAAAAGAACGAACTAAGATAATAACTTTTCATAATTCAAGTATTGATTTACATGTTACATGCAATAAATGACCGATAATGCAGTATTTATTACCATATTTCTTTTGCGTGACTAACGCAGTTTTGGCTGTTTTTCTTTCTTCATATATTGACTTTAATTTGATAATTTACGGGTAATGAGAGCGTCAAATGCAATTTGTTATGCAATTACTTTCTGTGTACACTGGACAAGGTTTTTTACTTAAGAGAAAAATAGTGGCGTGATGCTTTAACAACAAAGACTTTAGTAAGCATATCTGTAAGTTGAAATTTAATTTTCAGACTTGCAAAACCTGGAGCCATTACCGCTGTCAGGACATTGACCGCACTGACAGAGATCAATGGCGGCACAACATTAAACTTCAATACATTTGTGTCAGATGCCGCACCGACGACGACGGAAGTTTTGATTACTTGATGGCTATGGAGCGCCTTCGCAAGGTTTGATTGTCTTAGTCAATTACTAATGTTACCATTGTTTGTAATTTCATTACATTACTAGTACTCAATAGTTTATCAAATACTACAGAAGCTATCGAGTTTTATTAATGATGCATCTTATTGTAAATGATTTAAAGTATATAACCTGGTAGTTAAAATTTTGGGATTACTATTTTTATTTATGTACGTTGAAGTGTTTACAGCTTTACAAACTGATAATGTTTTTCGGACCTTAAATGTCAATGGTTAAAGGAAAATATCCCGCTGTTATAAATTAAACTAAAATCTAGGGTGTTACTGTAAGTCAAATTGGTAATCAAATTGTTACTTGTTTTAGGCCTCATTGGGCGGTATTCAGAAACTAAACAAAGGCTGCAGAACGCGAGAAATTGTTCACCAAAAATGTGCCGTGTGATACCTCCTTGCATGCTGAATTCCAACAACATGAACAAGACCAAATAAGCAACACGCTGCTGGCACACTGTCACACCTCAGATAAGACAGCACTTTACAGTACACCGGACGGTGACTGTTTCTTCAACTCTGTGTCAACACTTCTATGTGGTAATGAATCGCGTAGTACTGAATTAAGATATAGGTGTTGTATTGAAATGGTGTTGAATAAATTACAATCAATGCTCAATCACAGTTCAGGAGACTCACCGTATTAGCTCCGACTTTTGATAAGGACTCAATTAATTGTGCGCGTCCAGGATCGTATTCGTCTATGCACATGTTCATGGCCACATCAAGATTTCTCAATCTGCCAATTCATGTAATTTACCCTGCAGTGAACGGAACCACTAACTATAACTTCAAAACAATGAACACTTTAATTAGACCACCATTCGCGGATCCAGAACAGGGCACCATTTACCTGATGTGGACAAGCCTTAGTCTGCCAAGGGAGCAACCCACCTCCAGTAACCCTTGGAAAGCCAACCACATAGTTCCACTGGTTGCTAATGTAACTAGGGGATCGATACAGAAAATGCCGTATCTGTTAAACTGGAATTCATCCAAAAGGGACAACAGTCAGAATCCTATTACAACCAACACTCAGTCGGTAATCACCCTGTGCGGGATGAGGCGCCTGGCGCGCTGACTGAGTCTAATTCATCCGACGACTGTTTAAATTCTTCAATGGATTCTATTGTTAGTGATAGTGTGAATGAAATTGACTTTAAGCCTGGTCCGTTAGGGTCAAAATTTATGGAAATCGGGGATATCATTAAATTAATGGGTGGACCGTACACAGTGCTCAATGAAATTCCGACGGGACGAAAAGATGGAAACTATTATGTGATAGACAATAAAATGAACTATGAACGTAGATCCAACGGGAAAAGATCCGAATTCTGGGATGACTGTGGTTCCTGGACTAATGGTACCTCACCAACTTTTACCTTTATTCAACGCGGAGGTAAACTTGTCTCAATTCACAACAGATCGGGTATTTATTGTTATGAAAAACAGAAGCAGAAAAAAGAAATTTTTCGAACCTTTGGAGCCCAACCGTCCGCAGACGAACTTCTTGTTATAAAACGCTTATATAATACACTGGTTGCAAGTGATCAGGGACCTGAACAATTTAAAAGGAAATGTACTTGGATTGAGAAAATACCCTCGTCAATGAATGAAGTATCATTAGACATTGCTATAGTTGAATATGTAGGAACATTTCCTGAAAGGAAACCCCACGGCAAATCTGTTGGCTACAAGAAACCCTACATTCGTACGAAACCTAGCGTAAAACGGGACTTAAAAATCAACTTAAAACGCAATCTGTGAAAAATGTGAAGAATGCTATGAATAAGAGCACAGGAGACGATTTTTCCAAACAACGAAACGCGAAACAACTAAGGAATTTCAAATACCAGCAAAATAAACTGTCCGATAATGCACCTTCGAACGCGGCCGATCAAATGATATATGTGGAAGAAATGCTAAATACTCATGACCTGGTGCAAGCTATTCATCTTATATCGGGACTTTATCATCCAGCTATAACTCTCCTCAACCAACAACAAATAAGGGACATAAAACGCTTTTGTGGGACAGGAAGAACGGTTTTGGGAGTTGACAAGACTTACAATTTGGGAGATTTTTATGTTACGCCGACCGTGTATAAGGATTTATCTGTGATTCGAGAAAGTAATGGACATCACCCAATAACATTCGGACCAACTTTCATTCATACAAGTTCATCGGCTGACACATATTCGTACTTTTTTCATGACATTGGTGTTCACTTAAGTAGGAACGAAAAAAAGAACCTTGTTATTGGATCCGACGAAGAAAAATCCTTTAAAGTTGCAATTGAAGATGGTCTACCACACTCTACACATACTCTATGTACGCGTCATCTCCGGCAAAATACAGACAATTATCTCAAGGATCAAGTTGGGTATCCAAAATCCGACAGACTTCAAATAACCGAGGCAATTTACGGACAAGACGGCCTCACGTATACAGTAGATGTCGACACATACAATTACAGACTTGACCGCTTAAAAGAAAAAATCCAATCAATGGATAGGGAGGTTGGTGATAAAAAATTTCTACCGTATTTTAATGATAAAGTGGTACCTGTTTTAAAAACATACGTGATTGATCCTTCAAACAATGGAAAAATTGAACGCGGCTGGACAAACAACAACTGTGAGTCGGCAAATCACATATTGAAATCGGCAGCACAATGGAAGCATAGTGATATACCTAAATTCATTGAGTTGTTAAATGACATCGTGAACGGGGAAAGAATCGAACGTTGTCGTGCAATTCGCGGTATGGGTGACTACGAGTTAGACTATATGTTTCAGCACCATAAAGTAGACATTGACCGGTGGTCAAACATGACACAGGAATGTAGGGATAGAAGAGAAAAAAATTTCTTATCAGACAAAGGAAAATTACATCCAAACATTGTGACATCCACTAACGGATTAAGAACAATTAAGAAAACACCAAACGCAGGAAAAAAACCAAATCAACGTAAACGTAAACGCGCTGAAAGGTCACGGACACCTCATGCAAAACGAGTATTATTAGCATAGACTAAAAAGAACTGTCTTAAGTATGTTCATATGTAAATATAATGTAACATTGTATTGATTAATGTACCTGTTTATTGTATGTATATGTATACCTGCCCGGGGATCGAACCACCTTATTTCCATGTGTCTGAAAAGCGGTGCCAGTCCGTATTCCTGTGTCAAAATGTTTATGTAATGTTATATGTATCGATATGTGTAACTGTAAATATTATGTTCATTGTTTTATATATGAATTTGTTGTCAATATTTATTGTATGTTTATTTTTAATTATATCTGCCCGGGGATCGAACCGCACTTTATTTCCATGTGTCCGAATAGCGGTACCAGTCCGTATTCCTGTGCAAAAACGATGCATGTTTTCAATTAAATGTAATGTTATATGTATTGATATGTGTAACTGTAAATATTATGTACAAAATTTTGCATGTAAATTCACTTTATTATTATAAAACATCGTATCAAGAAAAAGTTATAAAAAAAATATTACTTTGTAAAATATATATATGTATCTGTCCGCAACGAAATGCCTTTCATAGAAAACGCAACGAATATAACATAACACTTTTTTATTTATTGACAAAAATTAATGATATTTTGCATTTAACATTTTATTATTATAAACCATCATATCGAGAAAAATAAATAATAAAACAATCAATTTATAAAATGTAAGTCATATTCGGTATCTTCTGTCCGCAACGGACATGCCTTTTATAGAAAACGCAATAAATATAACTTATAACTTTTTTATTTATTGACAAAAATTAACGAAATTTTGCATGTAAAAACATAATATCATTATTAACCATAGTATCGAGAAAAATAAATAATAAAATAATCAATTTATAAAAAATAAGTCGAATTCGGTATATTCTGTCCGCAACGGATATGACTTTTATAGAACGTAATTCGAATATAACTTATAACTTTTTTATTTATTGGCCAAATTTAACGATATTTTGCATGTAAAAACATCATATTATTATTAACCATAGTATCGAGAAAAAAAATTCAATTTATAAAAAACAAGTCGTATTCGGTACCTTCTGTCCGCAACGGTTATGCCTTTTATAGAAAACGCAATGAATATAACTTATAACTTTTTTATTTATTGACCAAATTTAACGAAATTTTGAATGTAAATTTATTTTATTATTTTAATACATCTTATTAAGAAAAAAAAATATAAAAAATAATTACTTTGTAAAATATAGGTCATATTCGGTATCTTCTGTCCTTCACGGATATGACTGTTATAGAAAACGCAACGAATATAACTTATAACTTTTTTATTTATGGACCAAATTTAACGATATTTTGCATGTAAAATAATTATATTATTATAAAACATCGTATCGAGAAATAATCATAAAAAATTAATCAATTCATAAAAAATAAGTCATATTCGGTATCTCCTGTCCGCCACGGACATGACTTTTATAGAACGTAATTCGAATATAACTTATAACTTTTTTATTTATGGACCAAATTTAACGCAATTTTGCATGTAAATTCATTTTATTATTATCAAACATAGTATCAAGAAAAATTTATAAAAAAATTATTACTTTGTAAAATATAGGTCATATTCGGTATTTATAGTGATATCCGCGGATATCACTCATATTTGGTATTAAGTCATACCCTATGTTTGTCGTTCCACCAGTTTTTATGCAGTACTCAACAATATATTTACTATTTATTTATATGATAATGTGGTAACTTAGGAATTATTTATATCACTGTGAATCAATTTGCTTTATAAATCTTTTACTGTAGCAGAGACATAAATAACAGAGATAGGCAACTTCCTATAGCCAGTTAAGAAATCATGTGCTTCTAAACTTAAAACTTGTAACAAGAAAAAGTTATTAACCAAATATCAAAATCAGCAAAATAATACATTTTCTGAAAGTTTTTACATGCAGGTAAAATCATTTACAGTTCCCGTATAAATAAAGAATACATCAATTTTTGAAGAGAACTGCTTATTAACTTTTGTTACATAACTTAATTAGCACATGACAAAAAAAATGCCTCAGTGGGTATATTTTGCTACATTTTGTTATTTTTCAGGAAAGATATGGAATTTTTCAAAAAGATGACATCAGATACAATAAATCCTGGTAAGAGCATGTGTTTTTAATGTCCTGAAGTTATTATAATTCCTTTTCCTTTCTTAAAAGTCTTTACTGTAACTTGATTAACAATAATCGGCTAGATCTTATACAAAATATTTATGTGATTCACAATCTTACTGTTACTGTACATGCATGTATATATGTACATGTATATGTAGTGTTATGCAAGCATTTTAGACATGTATATTTTTTATTAGTTTATCATATGACTAAATTATAATATCATATGACTTTACTACTGTACAACCATCATTATTTGTGGGGCATTTATTTTCATGGACTTCACGGATACGTTATTCCACAAATTTTAAGTCTCAACGCAATATCGCTGCTTGTTTTGTTCAGTGCAATATTAACTGTAGCGTAAAATGAATCCAAGTGAAATAAATGCAGCAATAAATTCCAGTTTTTATATACATGTGATAGTGAATATATATTACATTTGTAAGTCTAACGATCTGTTTGAAAGATAATGATTTACAGTATGAGGATAGAATTATGAATTGTAAAAGTTATAGTTAAAGGTAGATTCAAATATATTGAATTATGGGTTTGAACTTGTGTAAAATACATGCAAGAAATACATAGTAGTCGCCAATAGAAATTCCATGTGCCCACAAAAAATATATTAACCCTTTCACTGCCATAGGTACGGCTTAAGCCGTCCCTGTTTTTTCGGACTATTTGCCATAAGGACGGCTTTAAACCGTTTCTATAATAATAATAATAGTAATATTAATAAATTAATAATAATAATAAAAATAATAATAAATATAAAAAAATTATACCATCAACAATAATTATTATTATACTAACAGAATTGGAAACATATATAATTATTATAATACTAATAACAAATAATAATAATTATATTAATTAATAATATAGTAATTTCTTAGAAAATCCTCTAGCAAATAGGTGAACAATAAAACAATAACCCTCTGGCAGCGAAAGGGTTAAAGATATGAGCCATATTAAATAAGAGCCAAAATATTTAAGGAAAATCAAACTTGAGAAAAAATAAATAAAGATTCAAGTAATAATTTACAAGTTATAAGTGATTAATGACTGATTTTGCAGTATTCATCCCCATATTTGTACTGGGTGACTTTCTGCAGTTAGGACTATTTTTGAACATTTTGACTTCTTTTTGGTAATTTAATTAGATTTTAAGTGCCAATTGCATTTTGTAAATTACTTCCTCTGTTCACTTCACAAAATTTTACTTTTAGATACGTTTTCAAATTTTTTATGAAAATAAGCATGAATTTGGAGGCATTCTGGTTAACCCTTTAGTTTATACAAATTTATTTTAGTTTGATTGTGTTGGAAGCTATAAGCTTATTGAAACACTATTTAACCCTTTAATCATGAAAATATGAATATTTTTGCAATCCAAAAACTTCAAATATACATGTATAGCTTTATACACTTTAATTTTTTCAGATAAACAGAATGCTGTCATAATGGGGAGAAAAACATGGTTTTCTATACCTGAAAAATTTCGGCCTTTGAAAGGCCGTATTAACATAGTGCTAAGTAGAGAACTAAAGTAAGTACTATTCATAGCATAAGGTAAAACCACTGCCTCAAAATAAACAGACAGTAAAATCATAATATGATTAGGTAACTAAAATCTAATATTGCTTAGGGCTGTCATTGAATATTTCAGTATCGATGTGTCATCAGTATTTACCATTCAATACAATATCGCATTCAGTACAATATCCATGCACGATTTTGAATATCATTTCTCTCAAATCTTTTTTTCTTCTTATCTTGTGAAAATATTTTTCCATTTTGTGTAAATAGAAAAGTCACTTCTTTTCATATTTTATGGCTAGCTTGAACTCTTATGTTCAGGTTTTAGTCAGTGAGAAATAAAAAGCAAAACAAAACTTTCTTTATGTTAATTGAATCTGTGACATCCAAAAAAAAAAAAATTACATAACACCATGAGCATAGTCTATAACATATAAATCTTGAAAGTATAATGGTGAAAAGTCAAAACTACAATGTACGTTGATGAAAAGTCGAAAGTATGATGAAGAAAAGTCAAAATTTGAATGTTCACCATCCATCTTCCAAACATTGATGATTAATAAAAAAACAGTTCCACAAGTGGAATTTGGGACTTGTCCATTTAAGTAATTCAGCAGGAAATGGGTAATTACTATCATCTATGCGAAAATAAGAATTACTAATATTTTCGAGCAACAGATTTGTGATACAGAGGCTACTGCATGGTTCAAGTCTGGTTGTGAAATGCAATTTCTCTATGACAATTTATCTTGTATATGCGTCTAATGGTCATTTGCCTTATAATCACTACTGATGGACAAGTTGTTAAATTAGTAATTTGCAAGGGGTTAACACTAACTTTTCAGCCCGAATTCTTGACAGGACATCTGTTCTACAATTTTTGGAGTCTTTGAACCACATGACTGCGTTAGATTAGAATTGGAAACTGAGGGTTATAGGTGGTTACTTATCCAATGCTATAACATTGTATAACCTAAAATATGTTCAATCTTTTGAATATAAACAAGTATCATCAGAAATCCACTATCTGATATAAAAATATGTGAACTATATTTTCAGGGAGGTACCAACTGGTGTTCATATAGCTAGAAGTTTACCAGAGGCTTTGTCTCTGGTAGAAACAGAGTTATCGGACCTTGTGGAAAATATACATATCATCGGGGGGAGCTCGGTGTATAAGGTACTAAATCGGTTTTCTACTTTAGGTTTGTGATGTTAAATAGTAAAGTCTTATACATACATACTGTGAATATGACCATTATGTCAAACTCAAGTGGTTTACAAATCTGTTTTTTGGGAAAAATGTCACTTCAGTATATATTTCAATTATCATGATTATGTTCTTTTTGCTTTATTGTAACTTGAAGCGAATAAACATTTGGAGTGATTTATTTAAAAATCTCAATGATGAGCACTTTAATATTCAGAGGGAAAGATGGTCAAGTGGTTAAGGTGTATTTGACACGAGTGTTGTGGGTTCGAGTCCTACTTGTGTTATGGGTTTTACATAGTTATGACACAAGTACGAGCCTTTAGATTATCAATTTTAATTACCAATTTTGTTACCAAACTCTGGATTTTTCATTGGTCAATGTTAATTCTGCACTTGTTTCTTACCAATCTAATACTAGAGATATGAAATTCAAGTTTAGAACTTTTCATTATAATCTCAGGCGCTAGTTAGTTTAAATAATTTATAATTTTGTAAGCTAGCACGATTTTAAAACTGTTTTTTTGCTCCTTATTTTACTACAGGAAGCTATGGCGGGACCATATCCCTGTAGAATTTATCTTACAAGGGTGTTAAAGGACTTTGAATGTGATACTTTCCTGCCAGAAATTTCCGATGAAAAATTCACCAAGATTGCCAAGTAAGTACAAATGAGAAGGGAGGTAACTTAGAGTAAATTTAATGATAAGTATCTGCACAGTTGTCTCCCTTGTGTCTTGCAATATGCCATTCAAAGAACTTTTTCTTTTCTTTGCATAATAGCCAGTGTAAAGATGTTTTTATAGATCAAAACAAAGAAAGAGTTGAATAAAAACAGCATCAATGTTCAGATATCTAAATTCGGATAACTGACTGGAAGTCCAAATCATGAAAGATATTTGAACAACTTATTTTAGTGTGAATTCCCGTCAGTTTCAGTTAGTAATATTTCTTTATTTATTTCATTTCAGAAAAAAAAAGATTTTAAATTTGCTGATTCATAATTTATACATGTACAATTGTACATGTATTAAAAACAATTTTGCAGCCTGACAGATTCTTTGATTTAGTAAAAAACTTTATTACCCATTTAAAATGTCAAAAAACGCAATAGAAATAATAACTAAGGGTAAGAAAAAGTAAATAAATTCTTATTTATGCTAACTACATTTGAACTTGTGCTTAATGAGGTAAATTAAACTTAACGCTGTTCATCAGACAGATCATACTGTTTTAAACTGTTTTAACCTTTAAATTATATCAGGCAGCTTGGAAATCTCCTAAGCCAATAAACCATAAAGCATAGTAGTAAGTAGCATTTTATTACCATACAAAACCAACAACAATCTACAATGAAGGTCAGAAATTTTGGGTTAAATAAATGATCTTGGCTTTATAACCCAAATTGGTAAGAGAGGGTAGGGTAAAAAATACAGAAATAACTCTAAGAAAATAGAAAGAACTCAATAGAACACAAAACAAGGGGTAATTACCCAATATACACAAAATGTTACATGTATCTGTAGCCGTGGTGCATATTAGTGTATATTTATGACAACGACTGATCAATCTGGGTTCCAGAAAGTTTAGAATTTCCTTGGAATTGTTGAATTTAAAATTAAAGAGCATAAACCATACCTAATGAAAAAAAATTACATAATGTTTCAGCAGAAAAATAATATTGATGCAATATTTTATCTCACGAAAAATGTTGTAGCACACAATGTCTCTGTTCTTTTATACACATTGATATTGTATGTAAACAGAATAAAATATTCCAGAACAAAAAAAATATTCTACTATAGTTATAGGGTTTTATCTGTTAAGCAATTATTTTGTGCAGGTACCATTTGCTTTTAAGGCAATTTACTACCACATTTATTTCATATAAGCATTTTGGTAGTATTATTTTTAAATTCAAACATTTATTTTTGCAGCGGAAATATGACTTTATATACTTTTTAAACGTGTATTTTTGTTTCGGTTTTGGTCCAGAGCAGACTTAATATGATTTTATACATTGTAAAAACTTGTATTTTGCATTTTTGTTTTCAGTCCAGATAATGTGCCAGTTGAGCTACAGGAAGAGAATGATATCAAGTTTAGATTTGAAGTATTTGAAAAGGTGTGCTAAATATATTTGTATTTTTATTGTCTCCCCTGGCTTGTGTTGTAATGATATTGTAATGTTCAGTTTATTTGTTTTCTACAATTTAAAAAAATTGCTCATAATTATATTATATTCATGAAAACTGATAAAATCTTCCACATATTAGTGGTATGATAATTTTTTCCCTCATATTATGTAAAGAAAACTTGACAATTGATCTAAATCAGCTATTAATATAAGATGACAATGCTTTTATACACTTACAGCACTTGTATAAATTGCTTAAAGGGACTCCACTGAGGTTTCTTAACATGTCAGGACTGGAAATAATTTTTTTGAGACTAATTTTCAATTTGATATAGTTCTAGACCAAGAAATAGTGTGCAAAGTTTCAGATTATTCGCTCATGCAGTTTTTCTAGAAATATTATTCAAAGTGTGAAAAATACCTCAAAATTTAAAAGCGAATCGGACGAAGAATAGCACAAAAACAATAAATGATTATCAATTCATTTAATAGTATATTTTCTTCCTAATCCTTTCCATATTTGTCTGTTTTAAATGCCCATGTTGATCAAAAAAGAAATTCAAATTTTATGATTTTAGGCTTTTAGACAGTTGAGTTCCTTTAATGAAAATGCATGTATATACAAATATTGCACATAATTGATCCAGCATATAGATTGCTACTTTTTTTTTTGCTACTTGCATACAGTCATACAATATAGGGTGGGTGATCATATGTGTGGGTGTATTTGTTTATTTATGTATTTATTGAATTATAAAAGAAAAAAAAAACATTTTTAAGTCATGGTTGCGGCCATTCTGAGCTTGAACTTTATGTCACTTTAAACAAATGCCACACCCTGACCACCCTCGCTGACAATAAATGTTGTTTAAAATAGTATTTCAGACCTTGAATCCTGCTAAATTTTTGATATCATTAATGGATTCTACCTATCTTTGAATTTGGAACAGTCCATTCAAAGAGTAAGGGGATTTCCATATCAAAATACAAAAATATAGCACACACCATTATAGAGCCTAGGCAGACTATATGGTAAAATTATGCATTATGTTGGTTTCTTTGATATAAAATTATATGTTTTCAATTTACTTGAAATTTTGTTATTCTTTTAAGTTAGTAATCTAAAAAATGGATTTTGCCTTTATTTGGAATTATGCATTATTTTGACTTTTTGATCTTATCTACAAAATAAGTAATAAGTAAACTACAAAAATGTGTCTGTTTTCATTTTACTTGAAATTTTGTAATGATTTTAAGTAAATCATTTAAATGAATTTTTCTTTCTAGCTTGAATGATGTCTTTATTTTAAAATTGGCTTTACAAGTACAAAGTGTTTTTGTTTTCCAATTTACTTGAAATTTTGAAATACAATCATATAGATTTTTTGTGTTGTTATCAAGGTGTTCAAATATATTTATTTTCTCATACCATCACCATGTTCTAATGTGTTCAAATATGATTTGCCTCTCACCTACCATAAGTGTTCATATGTTCTGTCTGTTGTCTTAAATGTGTTCAAAAATAGTAACTGCCATCACAATGTTAAAATGTGTTGAAATATAGTTTGCCTCTAACTGAACATTGGTGTTCAAAATGTTTTGCCTTTGTTCTAAAAACAAAAATGTGTTCAAAAATAATTACCATCACTGTGTAAAAATGTGTTCAAATATAGTTGTCTCTTACTAACCATAAGTGTTCAAAATGTTTTGCATATGGTCTTAAATGTGTTCTAAAAAATGACATTTACCATGTAAAAATGTGTTTAAATATAGTTTGTCTCTCACCATGTGTTCAAAATGCAAAGTCCATTGTCTTAAATTATTCAAAAATATATACAAACACCATTTTGTCTACCATAATTATACCATACACGTGTTCAAAATATTTATCAACCGTATTAATTTGATATCAATGAAATTGATCTAACCATGTATGTGTTCAAAGATATTTGTTAATTGTCTTAATTTGTTATTCATATAATTGAAACCGCCTTGCATGTGTTAAAAGTAAATTGTTGACAGTCAGATGTGTTCAAAAACAGTTTTCTTTCACATGACATATATATAATTATATTAAAATTGTTTTTCTTCCCGCTGACCTATGTAATGTCAAATATCCTGTAACACAATATTATTATGGTTTAATATCATAAATATGATGCTCAAATTAAGATTTATAAATTTTTTTAAGATCAAAAAAGCATCATCTATAAAGATATTGCCGAATTTAACATTTCATGTAAATAAATGGAGGTAATAAAAAATATTTTCTATAAATTCTAAGTCAAATTTTTCAATAAGAAATGAATGCATATATTTTAATGATTAGAATCATATGTACAAATATTTGCAGTACATATTTTTCATATTCTTCGATGTTTGAAAATTGTTTTATACGCATAATTATATACATGTATATAATTTCACTTGAGTGTGGTATGCAACCTAAATTATAACATACAGGATCTTTAATGTGTTCAAAAATAAATAATCGAATATGACATTGTGAATTTGTAAAGTATTTGGATGTTTTTTGACTATAATTATTGCATTTTTTTGAAAGCAAATTGATAATACTCGTATGCATTGATATATGTTTGATGTTTTTAAAGGCCCAATATGCCATCATTTTTATTTCTAAATACCTTCTATTTATGATATTCTGTTACTGTCCCAAAAATACTCATTTTGCCATATAGATAAACTAATTTTTTGCTTCTTTTGCTCTGTTTGTAATTGGTATATCTATTGTGAATAAGTATTTTTGTATGGAAGGTCAAAAATAAAACACTTTGTTTACATTTTGCTACCTTAAAGTTTTAAGACACATACTTAACATTCCCACTACTTTTGCTCATTTGTTAAAAACTTTGAAATAAACCATTAATGCCTAAACCATTATTATAAAGGCATTATTTTTTTTTGCTTTCAAAACAATATATTATTAATTTTAACCTAAACCTTTTTGGCATAATGTGCTTTTGTGTCATTGGCCTTGGAAAATAGTTTTCATGTCATGGGTCAAATTTTATGGAACATACATGATTATGTTGATTCAAAAGATTACCATTAAGGCGATGGATTTTGTAATCAAGTTTTACATCCAACTTGAAAGTGCTGACTTTGTGTTAAGGGCAGTCAATAAGAAAATCAAGTAATGTGTTTATCAAAATACAAAAACAAAAAAAAATCTAGGAGTATAGGACCTGGTCATTCTACAAGCTGACCTGGCTATGTAATTATAACAAAGGTTAATCAGGAACATCACGTGATATTTATTTCTTTTTAATGTATGTTGCGTCGGTACCACCTAAAGTAACCCATTCACATTGACTTACGGTAACTCACATTTGTAACAAACCATTTCGAAATGTTGCTGAAAATAAACTGACAAATTTTAAATTCACATCTAATTTTATTTACATACGTTTTATACTTTACAAATAGAGCATGCCGACAAATGGACCAGTTGAATGCGCAGCCCCAAAAGAACCAATCAAATTTGACATCATGGCTGCAATGTGTGACGGTAATAGAGGTATAGGTTACAAAATGAAACTTCCATGGCCGAGTCTTAAGTGAGTTTTTTTTCTTGGTATTATTGTCTATAAAACCCCAGTCACACTAGAGCTTACGATTACTTGCGACCACCGGCGACTTATAAAACTGACGATCATCAGCGATTGTCTGCGACTGAAACCATTTTTGCACAGATAAATTTACTTTTGCTAGTATCGTAAGACAAGTCATCATTGACAATGCGCACGACAGGTCATAAGTAAACGTAACGGACTGGTCTCAGACTCAAGATTGCCTGGGATTACTTACCACCACCCGTGACATAACTGCGATCACTTACACTTGTCGTACGACATCCACACGATTACTAAATACTACTTAAGATATCAGTGACTAAGTGGCAATTTGTAAAGTTTGTCTAAGATTGTCCACTTCCGAACGACCATCGTACGACAGCTTTAAGACCTTATAAGATCACAAGATCACTAGTCGCCTGTTTGATCGCAAGGAGTTTTTGTGCAGCTTCAACACCTCTCTACGACTGAAAATTGGTCGTGGGACCTTAATAAGATAACCTGCGACTGTCCAAGATCATCGATGACCGTCGTAAGACGTTTTAAAGATTGTCCGCGACCAGAGGTCACTGGTGATCGTGAACTGGTCTCCACTGGTCGTAAGCTCTAATGTGACTGGGGCTTAAGTAAAGGCTACGGTTATTATAATAGCCTATTAAGGAAGATCGCCTTAATGTTGTATTATCTTTCTGAAACATTTTGATTTTATTGTCTCTCGTACTCTCTCAAATCTGTCTAAAACTCTCACACTGGAGGATTAAACATTTCCCTAACCCCTTAAACCCCGGAATTAAGTCTGACACATACGTCTTGTTACCTCCCCTGGAAGCCATTTTGAGAGTCATAATTCCAAAATATCGTATGCTTAAGATAAAAATTTCTCACAATTCTATCATCTTCATAAAAAGAGCTAAATGCAAAATAAAAATCAATATCTAAAAAAAATATTCTCCAAAACAACATGTAAAAGCCCTTAGATATTTGACATGTATCGCTTTTCCTTAAATTTCGACAATTATATCGTTGTGTTCTCTGGGGTTACTTTGGTTACATTTACTTAAAGAAAGAGACCAGTAGTCTTTTCCACAACAAAATAAAGAAATTAAAATAAATTTGAAAAATCCCACGCTTTATATTTATTGTTGGGGTCACCTTTGAATCTCTAAAAAAAGTTTATTTAAAACATTTTCCCCGGATTAAACTGGGTTCCCTCCATGGAAAGAAACCTATAAGACATGGGATTAAATCGATTTGAAAAAACTGTTTAAAAAATTAAATATTGGGTGAAGCATTGCCAAGGGAAATCTCAAAAATAAATATATCTTTGTCCCCGGTCAAAAAAGGCCTCTCTCCGGGGTGACCCCCTTTCCCCTGTCCCCTTTTGCTTAAATGGAAAAAGACTTAAATCTCCCCAGAATCTGCTTTTGCCATACGTTTTGTATGAAACCCTGAAGCGTAAACCTTTTTGGTCCTTTAAAAAGTTAAAAAAGGATCTGTTTGACTTTAGTTCGGGGCCACTTATTTTATATCAAAAAAAATGCAGGGCAAAATGAAAACTTTTTTTTTTTGGAATATAACCTTGGTTTAAATTTTTGGGCCCGAGGGTTGGGAATTATTCTTTTGAAAAGACACTGAAAAACAGTAATTAATAATATAATTTTTCCCCTGGTTAAGAAAATATTGTTAAATTTCAATTGCGTTTTTGCATAGTCTTTTTAAATACAAAAAGCGCGCTTAAAATCAAACCAAACCGCAATAGACCATTGCGGGAAATAAGGCGTCATATTGGAACTACTTTCGGTCACCCTGATATAATGTTTGCCTCCATGGCCAAAGTGATAGAGATTATGTTTCTTTTAAAACAGTGGAAGAAAAGATTAAAAAGTATATTTTGAAATTGATGACTGTCAATTTCCATTCTAAATTGGCAATAGA